AAAAAAAAAATTTCATTTTAATAGATAATTTCCATGTAAAGTAAAGCCAAACGAGAAAAAAAAAAAATCCAAAATTTCAAATTTTTTCGGGGTGGAAAATTATACCAATTAAACACACTTAATTAACAATTCCCTACAAAACAATTTCTTGGCAATTACTTTTCCTAAAAATCATTTTCTTTCACCCATTTTCCACCATCGCAATCAAACGCACCCTTAAAAAACTATTCAAACATATTCAAATAAAGCTTTTTAATCTTAAAAATAATTTTCTATAAAAATCATACCAAACGTGCCCTTCAATAATTCGACGGATCCAACAAAGTCCAAGTGGTTTCTTGTTTGCCTCGACAAATGCTACCCCACAAGGTACAATTCCAATTGATAGGGCATTGAATTCGTGTTAAGCCAAATACAGTTGGTAATAAATTTGTCATATCACTCATCAGTATAGGCGGTGTGCTGCTTACATTCAAGAATCTATTCATTCTAGAATCTTTTATTTTTCTCTTTTTGTTATTATAAATAAAGCTGCAATTCACCTCTCTTTCTTCCATTATAATTTAGAGCCCTCTTTGTTTTCAGTAACATAGTATTTCAGCTTTATTACAGCCCCAATGGAGTTCAAGTTTCAGCATATTTTTATATTTCTTTCTGTGAGTAAAATATATAATAGCTCAATTCTCGAGAAATTTTGCATTTCTTTTTATTTCTGTGAGTAAAATATATAATAACTCAATGAAGAAGAGTGTAAATTTTGTGCATTTTTTTCAGGTGGCATTAGTGGCAAGCCATGCAGCTTTAACTTCACAGGAAGATTACTGGAGATCTGTGCTGCCTAACTCTCTCATGCCTAAAGCTGTGAAGGATCTTCTCCACCCGGGTTCGTCTTGAACTGGTGTATATGTGTTAATCATTTTGTTGACCATAAAAAATACGTCAACAGAATTCCAGCCACCTTCCCTTCACGTGGACGTTACCTACGCACTTAAGCACATCGTTAGGAGGCAAAGACTGCCGATCGAAAAAAAAGTTCCAACGACCATTTGCACTCTAATGGTCAAGTCAACGATCGGACGGAGATAATATGAGTGCAAGGGAGGGAGAAGGATTTGGCTAGGATTAGGATTACATAGCTTATGTGAAATGGATTCACGCCTACTGGACTGAATTTCACATCCATGACGATATTGTTTAATTAAATAGGTCCAATCAATTGAATAGTTGATGATACGTTGACATATATGGAACCTCCTTCATCTGAGCAGGTTACGTAATTTATAGGTGTAACACATTTCATTTAAAAGACATTTTTACCGGAGTTACATGAGCTCGGAATCCTACGTATTTTAGTCATAAACATATGCATGTTACTTGTTTTGGCAATAAAATTAGAAATTAACTTTTTGATACAGTTTGGAAAAAGAAGTTATATTTATTATTTGTAGGCTCAGACATATATGCTCCTCGAAACTATGTTTGGCTAAGCTTAATCCAAACATACTCTTGGTAGAAAATTTAAATTTTTAACTTTAACCAAGCAAAAGTTTATTAATATTAACTTCGTCTAATATGTTTTACAGAATTTGTGGAAGACAAAAGCACTGCTGTTGGGGTAAGCAAGGGCGGCGTCGGTGTCAACGCCGGCAGTCCCGGAAAAGGAACCAATGTCGGTGTCGGCAAAGGCGGCGTGGTAGTCGGAGCACCTACCAAATCAGGCAAACCAGTCTATGTTGGAGTAACACCAGGACCAGTACCCTTTCTTTACAAATATGCAGCTGAAGAAAATCAAATCCATGATGATCCAAATGTAGTTCTTTTCTTCCTGGAAAAGGATCTTTACAAAGGAAACAACATGAAATTGCATTTTTTTAAGAGTTCAGATGATCGGGCTAGTTTCCTGCCTCGCCAAGTTGCTGATTCAATTCCGTTTTCATCCAAAAAGTTTCCAGAAATTCTTGATAGATTTTCACTGAATCCCAGTTCAGAAAAAGCTGAAATCATGAAGAAAACTATCCAAGAATGCGAGGAGACAGGGATAAAAGGAGAAGAAAAGTACTGCGCAACTTCATTGGAATCCATGGTCGATTTCAGCACCTCCAAATTGGGACGAAAAGTCGAGGCAGTTTCGACTGAGACAGAGAAGGAAACT